CTACAGAAATGTCAGAGTGCTCAGAGACGTGTCCAGCTGGACCTTGAATGTCTCTGGGGATGGGGTTTCCACCACTTCTCTGAACAACCCTTGCTAGTGACTCATTGCCCTTTTACAATTGCCCTTGCCTACTGTAAAAGACTTCTTACATCCAGCCTAAATCTTCCTTTTTTCAGTTTGAAACCATTTCCTCTGTCATACCACAACAGACCCTGCTAAAGAGTGTGTCCGCTTCCTTCTTATGGCCCCCCTCTAGATACTGAAAGGCTACTCTCAGGTCTCCCCAGAGCCTTCTCTTCTCCAGGCAGAACAGCCCCAGCTCTCAGCCTGTCCTCATCCTCCCTCTTCAGCCCCTGCCCATGGCAGCCTTCAGGAGTGCCCATAGCTTGCCCAGCTGTTTGCAGCCAGCATCTGCTTGGATGTTCCTTGGAGGTGACCCAAAGGACAAGGGGGCAGAACACAAACGTGGCTGCTTGGTCATATGACATAAGGGAAAACTTTAAGCATACACACAGCAGAGGAAGCTCTGTCATGGGTACAACTGTTAACACTTTAAAGTTGTTTTATAACAGAGTCAAACAAATTTGAAACAGCTGCTCTATATGCTATTCATTTCCAGAGGCAATGTCTGTTTTTTTTTAACTTGCTATAAAAGAAATTGGTGCTGCTGTTGTTTACAAAATTACCCAGGCTGCACTTATGACTTCTAACTACTGATCTTGCTGTGCTCACATGGACACCAGAAATGACAAGATCAGGATTTTCTCAGCTAATGTTGGTGCCACGGCTCCGAAAAAGCTACATGTTGAACATGTGGAGGGGAGTGAGCAGGGGCAGAAAGGGAAAGCAGTAGACTCCGGTCCTCATTTTCCTCAAACCTTTTGTCATTGAACCAGCCAGCACTTTCTCATGCTGCTAAGCAATTAAGCCTCCCTGACACTGCGGTGTTTATGAGGGAATTACTGCTCGCCTCAGCTGTGCTCAGAAAGCAGCGGGTCAGGAGTCAGAGAACTGATAAACCCTCTGAGGTGCCTGCAAATGCGTTTAGACGCAGATTCCCCCATCCGACATCTTCAGAGTAGCTGAGGAAAGAGCAGAGAGAGCTCATCTCCAAATAGATTGCCAGGGGCAGGCACCTTCCATTTAATGAAGACTGGGTTGATCTATATGCTTTATTATGCTTGTTTGTCTCTGCTAGCATTAGACCTCAAAGACCATGGTGCTGATAAGGGTCCTTTGGTCTGGTATTATGAGAATGCTGGAGAGAAGCCAGGTAAAGGAAACGAAATATCTAAATATCATGAATCTTTCACCTTTCCATTTAATTATATTCTTTTACCTTCAGCTCCATTTTAAAATGGAAGGATGTTTATAGTATTTTTAACCCTTTAATTTATAAATCAAGGAGGTGATTTGGGATGCCACTTCTAAGTGATCCTGTACCCAGAGCAGAGGAAGGAGGTCGTGGGGGCTGCAAAGGCAGCATCCATGACACAAGCTCTGAAAGAAGACTTAGACCCCACATGAGCTGCTACACTGGGAGCTCAGTGATGTGATTGCTATTACTAGATCTGCAGGTGACTTCTTGCGTGACCCCAGGCAGTTTGTTTCACTTTCCAAGGCTGCTTTTCTCCCAGTACAATTGCTGTGACTATGCTTACCTTTTTTAAAAAAAATGCTTGGAGATCTTTTGCTAAAAGGAGCTCTCAAAGGCTAAGAATGGCCTTTGCTGAGTCTGCCGTCCATCACCAGGAAATGCCTAGCACTATGTGATCATCGTTACACATTCATGAGTCTCACAGTTTATAATAATAAAAAAATAGCTTATGCAGAACATCTGCAGATTTATTTTTCTGTGAATGGTTTCAGTCTTAGTCACTGTCACATCTGTGTGGGGTTACTATTCCATTTTTGTCCGAGGCATCCCCTCTCCCTTTATTAAGTGATGCCAAATGTTTTTATTGTTTAGTTTTTAATATTTTGTCTGGCATTTTTTAGATTAGCCTAGAAAGTTTTGTTTAACAGCACTTAGTTTTTGCATTTGTGCTTTTCTCACAGTACCCTAGATTACATAAAGGGCAGGAAGTGGAAGTAACACACAATGTGAAATAAATAAAAGTATTATTAATAATAATTGCCTCTGGGTTAGTCATATCCTTGCAAAGTGCAATTGGCTGTGTTAAGAGTTATCACTTTCACCTTGGACCTTCCATCCAGCCATTACTTGCAAAGAAATGCCACTCTTTTAGTTACAGTAATAATAAGAACAGCAATTTCTCATTTCTAAAAATGCCACCCAAAAAAGATTCTATTTCCAGGCTGTCCATGAGATGTACAAATGTTTCCATTCCAGAAAGCAAAACTGAGTCGTGGAGAGATTTAAAACATCTGAAAAGAATGTCAAAGTCTTGACTCCAAACTCTGTTCTACAACTATTTACACTTCTTCTGTAGTGTTTAAATCTTTGTCCTATGTTTTAAAAAGATGTGCCAATGAAAAGATTCTAATCTACATTACTCATAAGTTGATAATTCACAGATGATTCCATTCCTTCTGCTTTGTCAACACAACCAGTATCAAGAGCCAAGATGAACTCAGCTTGCCTTCCTTAATTTGGAGGCCTTTGGAGCAGCAAAGAAACCCAGAGTCAGATTCCTTGAAGCCCACGCCTTAGGATAGGGCGTGGGCATTTCTGCCTACAGATTGCTTGCACTGACACCTAATTCAAACTAAATGAATATGCAAATCTTGAGGCATTCAGCTGGATCACACTTTGCTATGCCAGCTGCACACAAGGATAAGGTTTTCAAATGTAGAAAATGAGGTGAACTAAGCACTGAAGAGCAGGCATTTGAAAGGCTGACAGCCCTGGTTCTCACTCAGCGAGAAGAATGTGTGCCACTCTTGAGCAGGGTTCAGTTGCCTTGTTCTGGGATCGCAGATGCTGACTTGCTGCAGGTTAGTTTTTACACGGACTACAGCCTATATTCCTAGGCTACAGGGAATCATCATAACTTTTCACCTTTATAACTAGGTATGACTGCAGCTCAGATGTCCTTTCCATTGCCCTCTTCCACATACCCATTTTATTTCTGAATCTCAGTAGAGAGTTTAACAAGAATGATCTTACAAATGAAAAAAATTAACTACGAAGAAGATCAACCTACTGGAGAGAAATAAAAAGTGGTGATTATTTCAATCAACTGAAGAGTCTCTCTGACAGATTGGCACCACATGAGTCACTTTGATCATTTTATCATCTCAAGATGAGAAGGAAGATGTACAACACTTGTGACATTCTCCACCTGCTCCACTCCATGGTTGTGCACGTGTATCTCAATCAGCCAATCATGTTTATAACAAAATAAGCAACCCAAAACGTTCTGATTATACACAGGTACAACTCTTTCTAGTGTATATGAAGAAAGGGAACACTTGAAAAACAATGGTGCTTAACTGTCACTTCTAAATCTGGTAGGATTTTGCCTCTCAAATCTTGTGAAGTTACCTCATCTAATCCTTTAGTGTGGCCCTGCTGAGAATGAGCATGAAGCATCTCAGTGAGAGGTAAAAAATCAGACTTCACTGTGAGAACATTCTCCTTATTTGACTTGTGTGTCACTTTCCTTAGAAACATCTCTCTTACATCTTTAACTAAACTCAATATCTTGCTGGAAAACCTCCTACTTTTGTTTACAATTTTAAATATGAATAAATGGTTATGCCTCTTCCCAAATGCAACTGTTCACTTGCTGAACTATAAGCATTACACTTTCAAAGGTTTTCATTCTCTGCAGACTGTATGTTGCTCTCCTCTGGATTCCTTCTGATTTTTCTGCAAAAGCTTTTCTGCCCAGAGAAAAACTGCAGGATCACTAGCTCCTCATTAAGGATTACCATCCTCTCATCCATGCTCCTTCTGCCCATAGAATTCAAGTACAGTTGAATTGTAAAGATTTTCTCTTCTTCAGATTATTCCTCCATAAGTCGTCAGTACTGAACAGAGCCGAAGTTATTCAGATGCCTTCAATGCAATGTTAAATATGCATAGACTTCTTGTAATAAAAAAAGAAAAGCATAGTCTGGGGATAACATTGTTTAATTTTGAAGTGAATTACCACATCAGCATAGGCTTTCAATGTTCATTTTTAAAGGTGAACATCAAAACCCGCTCCACGTATAACAGCACCTCAAGAACCTGCTCCAACTCCGCCTACCCTCACTGCCACACCAGCATTTTTCCACATACCATTTTTCACTCAGATCTCAGAAGGCAGTTTCTAGCAGGGGCTCAATACTCTCACTTCACAGATGAAGCCAAGGTACAGTAAGCATGTTTGTTAAACTGGCTGAGAGCCATTTGCTAAACCCACAGCAGAAGCACAATCCCCATTGCTCAGCTCTCAAGGCAAGACGCTGGAAATTCCCTTCTCCTTTCCTGTCTAAAAAGCAGCGGCCTTTAGGCCTGCGTGAGGGCCCTGCTGCAGGCCTCTCTGCTCGCCAGATCTGAATCCTCACATCTCCCCTTCTACAGGGCCCAAAATGTGAGGCGTGGGCCTCAGTCAGCCCTCAGCACCGCTTTGTCAGCAGCGAGCGGTGCTCAGCACAGACGTAACGGCCCAAAGAAGAAAAGAAAACCCAGCGCATTTCAGAAAAACAATCGATTTTATTTCATACTGAAGAAGGCAGAAGACCAACGCCTATAAAACAAGACCCAGCCGGCAAGACCCACAGAGCCCCCCGTGCCAACCCGTCCCAGCAGGGCCACGCGGGGCGGCGCAGGGGAGATCCCAGGGGAACCCCTCCGCCGCCGACCCACTTCCGCGTCCGCAACCTACCGCGCGTGCGCCGCCACAACCGACAACCACACTCCGCCGGCTGTCCCGCGGCCGTACCAACGTGTGTGTAACGCGCGGGTAGGGGCGAACGAGGGCGGCGGGCGCAGGTAGCTCTGCCGGAGCCCGGACATCCTGCCGCCTCCCTGCAGGGTTACTCGTTACCTTCTCGAGTCTGTAGGCGCCTTCCAAACTTGTTTCTGTCCGAGTTCCAGCCCCTTCTCAATCCTGTGCCCCCCCACCCCCCCGCGGCTGAGCTTTGGTACAAGCCGCTCCCAGCTGATCCGGCGGCTCGGTGAAACCATTCCGCTCAGGACGGGGGGAGGCGAGGTGCCGGCGCAGCGGGGGGGCGCATTGTTGAGTCACGGGCCGAGCGGTGCAGGAGGGCGGGCGCGCCTCGCAGCCTCAGCTGGGTCGCCACAGGAGGCGGCGGGCGGGAGGGGCCGCCGCAGACAGCGCCGCCTCGGAGCGGGCCCGGACGGTAGGGCGCGGCCGTCCCCCCTGCCGCGGCCTCCCCTGCGCTGCCGCCCCGGTGGTCGCGCCCGGCTCCAGCTGACCGGCCTGGAATCCCGGCTCGAAGCCCCGCGCCCCCCCCCCCCCCCCCGCCCTCCTGCCCGCCCGCAGCCGCCGCCGCCCCGCGCCCCGGCCCCGGCCCCGCCATGGGAGACGCCGGCAGCGAGCGCAGCAAGGCGCCTAGCCTGCCGCCGCGCTGCCCCTGCGGCTTCTGGGGGTAAGCGGGGCCCTCGAGGGGGTGGGGGCCGGACAGCGGGTGACGAGGCGGCGGGGCCGGGGGCAGGGCCCGAGCCCGGGGCTGCCCTTGAGGGAGAAGGGTGGCCTCGTCCCCGCAGCCGGGCGGGGGGGGAGGTGGCGACGGCGCTGGGGTTGCGTTGTTCTCCCCCGGGGAGCGGGGGTGTGGGGGGCCGCACGGCCTGGGCCTCCCTCGGGCTCAGCTGGGCGGGCCCTGCCGCCACCTCGAGCGCGGGGCTCTCCGGAGGCGGTTGCCGGGGCCGAACGCCGCGCTCCGAGCCTTCGGCTCCGCGGGGCAGCGGCCAAGGGGGCGCGTCCCGGAGTGGGGTGGGGGCGGCGGGGCCTCCCGCTGTGCCTCGGGCGGGAGGGCGGCTCCGTGCGGGTCAGGGAGCGCGCGGAGAGAAAATGGTGCTTTTGTCACCTTGTGGGGTGGGGGGTGGGGGTCGCGCTGGGTGAGGTCCTCGCTTTTGCTGAGCCTCTTCTGGAGACTAGGGGGTAGGGTCATCCCCGTTTGCTAAAAGGTGTGTGTGTTTGGGGGAGGTGTGGGGGGGAGAAATCGGCCCGTCCCCTGCTGAACTTCTGTCATCCCCAGGGTTGTGTCTGCTGTCTGGATTTCCTTTTCTCAAGAATCAGATGTATCATGGCAGATGGTGTGCTGGCAGGCACACGTGATCACAGAATGCCTGCAATGTATATAGCAAAAAAAAAAAAAAAATCAGTTCCTAACCTTCGTGTTTATGAGATGTTCCAAGAATGTGAGTCAGTAGGTTTCTGAGGGTCCACCTGAGCTCTATGTTGTCTGAGACAGTACCTTCTTGAGATATTGGTGTCACACAGCTTACGGTGCCCTGGGGGAGTGGAGTCTGAGTGGAAGGAGATGCAATAACAGAGATTGATGTGCCTGAACATTGGGGTGTTTTATTGAGCGGCAGGGTTTTAAATGAAAACCCATTTTTGAGTTATGGTGGAAACCTGAACTGCAATATGTGCAGTGGCACCATTGGGAGTGATTAAGCAAAATACAACTTACTGTATACTGGTTCTATTTTGCTGATTTTTGTTTTGTTAGGCTCCATATTTGGTCCTGTTGCTTCCCACAGCACAGTGGCAAACAAGTTGCTGTTATCTGTAAGGCGGTGCACTGGCTGTGTAATGTGACGCTGACATGAAAGTCACAAAGCACTGAAAGAGAACTTCTTCTCTGGGCTGAACTTTTCAGCTGGTTCAGCATGTTGTGCTAATGAAAAGGAAAGCTGGTGCGTCGTGTTTGAGGAGGTGCTTCGTGGCGATGGGAGACTCTCCAGAAAACCATCTGCCTTTAAAGACTCTGCTTCTTTCCTAGGACATACATTTTCTTGTACAAACAACCATCAAAATAAAAAAAAGTGCACTGTCAGCTGAAGGCTTGTTACGCTTCTCTGTCCTGAAGAAACTGAAGTATTGTCTTGTCATGACTTACTTGGGTCCTGCCAGTGCTTGAAGAGATATGCAGGTAAATGTGCATGGACATGTCCTTGTAGTGAAGCTGCCCTGGCATGAGTTCTCACGGAGTCACAGTTTTATAGCAGCTTTTTGAAGAAAGCAAAAAGTGCTAGGAAAAAGATTGGTGTGCGTGTGAAGCTGGAATTCTGCCCTAGATGTCAGGGTTATGCCAGCAGTGTGTCTTACAGAGGATATAGTTTTCTTAGTGACTTCTCTTTTGCTTTCACAGCTTAGAGGCTGTATTTGCCCTTTATCTTCAGGCTTATAACATTCAAGTTCGGAAACCAGTAATGTAACATACTAATTTGTATGAAATTTCTAAATAAAGGTATGTAGAGGAATAGTTTTTCTTTATGTATCGTGTGCAGTGATTGGGAGTTCTTGAATGCCTGCTCTTGGGTTCCCTGAACCATGTAGGCCTCAGAAGAATTCTCTGTCACTGGGTCGAACAGAAGGGCCTAGATTATACCTAGTAGGTCTTGGCCAGCTATAAAAAATAATCTTGGGGTTTGTTATTGTTTTTTGTTTGTTTTGGCTTGATTTTTTTTTTTTTTTTAAAGGCACCATTTGCAGTGAGATGAATATTTTGTGCAGTAATCCACAATAATAGACAACATTCTGGTAGATACTCAGGGAAACATTAAAATTGAAGTGAGCTGTGAATCTGCGAGCTGAAATTTACCTACTGGTGCGTAGTCACAACGTAGCTCCTGAAATGCACACTGGTATAGTGTTGCAGTTCAAAGAGTTCACAAGAGAGGACTGTATGTACTATTGCATTAAAGTTGGAGGGATTCTTCTCTTAAAACGCTGAGGTTTGTATTAGAAATTCAGATCCTGTCAGTTGCAGGAATCTCTAGTGACTGGAAAACTGCTAAACTCTTGATGTTTCAAGATCTGAGAGACTGAAAAATGAACAACTGAAAGAAGGGACTTGAGTAAAACTGTTCAGAACTTCAGAAACATCTCCTTAAGGTCAACAACTGACATTTTCTTACCTTTTGTGGGAGATCATAGAAGCCATCTTTAAACTTCTGCAGACTTCCCTTTCTCTTCAGAATGTCCAGCCTGCCGTTTCTGCTCTAGTCAAGTTCAAATGGAGCACTGAATCTCTACATTTTACAAAAACTTCTTTCACAGATATTGATTTATTTATAAGAAATTCACAGAACTTACCGTGTGGAAATGTTTTATTCCTCACCCCATCCCCTCTCTTTTTATTTTTGTGTTTTAAACTTCAGTCTTGCAACTATCTCAGTTTTTATTGGAAGAGTCTTAGTGTACAAAGGTTGGAAAGGGTGCAGTATGCAAGCTGTTATTTTAGGTTACTTCATTTAGAGTTTATGCTGTGCTCGTCATTCTTATGATCTAGAAAAAATCTTTCTTCTCTCCTGGTTAACAGACCATGTAATTTTTTTTTCTTAGATGAGTGGATTTTAGAAACCCATTTTACTTTATAGCATATATAAAATCTTCAGCTCTAAGTTAATAAAAACATGAAAATATTGCAGTATGCACGTATTCCAGTTAAGCCACTTTGCTTATTAGAGATGAGGCATAATCCTTTAATGAATTTCATTTTGGCAGTTCCCCATTGGCTTTTGGAGCACTCCACGAAGGTTTCATTTGTGTACAGCTCATGAGAGGGCTGAGGTTTTACTATTACACAGTTATGTGCATAGGTGAGAGTGGTAAGGTAAAATACTTCTTGGCTGGTAGACTGTGGAGGGGTAAGTCAGAGAAGGGTAACTTCTGCAGTGCTAGTGAATGCTTTTTGGATTTGGTTTTCTTTTTTTTTATTTTTATTTTTTAATAGTCCAGACTGATAGCAACCATTGCATTCAGTGACTTAGAACTAAAAAAAAAAAAAACAAAACAAAACAAGGAAATATGTTAATGGACATAAAAACAAATGAATTCCAGTCTTGAAATGGTGGCAGCCAGCAGGAAGTTGATGGAAAACACAGTATGATTAGTTTCATCTCATCTTATTTCTGGCAACTCTAAGGTACTGTAGTCAGCTAAAACTGATGGCAGTATTGTTTGAGAACATGCCAGCAGGGTTTTGCAGGGTGATGCCATTTGTTCTGCCTTTCTCTGACACTGCATACATCACAAACGTGGTGAGACATGGTGCCTCAAGCACTGACTACTGGCCTAATCCTAAATTTATTTCTGAGTCTGGATTTTCCAGTTGCTTATGTATCACCAGGTCCCTGCCATGCCAATCTGACTCTTCCCTCAGTTTTGTTTACTAAAATTACACACTTGATCAAATGGTGAATCACTTAATGCAAGTGCGATTGGCTTGTGACTGTATATCACCAAAGCCTGCTTCTAGCTTGTAAACAAATAGTGACTAATATCTTTGTGCCATTAGCAAACCTCTTCTTTGGCTAGTCTTCTTCTTGGTGATTGCTGCTGGTTGTTCCATATGAACTGTCAGTGTCTGCCTCTGTAATAAATACTTTATATTCTCATAGGCTGTGTATACTGTCCTGAATGAATAATGCCTTCATAAATCTAATTTTGCTGTTGAAACAGTACTTAGATGTTTCTAAGTAACATCTCCAAAGAGGCTTGAGAACACTGTAGGAATACACGATACCTTTCCCTCTGAGAATCAGTTGTTTGCTTTGCTTGGATCATGTACTTACTTAGCCAGGGTTTCATTTACAGGAGCTTTGGAGCAAGTTCTAGAAGAAGCAGTGAAATTGTCAGCTTATGCAAGACAATATATTTGCTACCAAATGGGCTTTTGTGGATTAGAGGCCTTCGTGTTCACTAAGGTCCTTGAGTGAATAGTGAGATGTGATGAAGTAGAAATAAGGTGCCTTGCGATAGCGCTGTGTGAGGGAGGGGCAGGGCTTCTGTGTTGATGGCAACAAATGTCAGGTTTTCACAGAAACACCAAGGCTGAAAAGACTACAAGATCATCCAGACCAACCATCTCATCTTTTCCCCCTACAAATTCTACTTTGATTTAAATCAATAATGTAATGATGCTGATGTTTTAGAAGGGTAATTCTTGTGGCGCCGTACAAGACATACAACATTTTTAAGTATAAAAACTTCATGGCTTTTGTTACTTTCAAATTTGCTGTAATGCAGTAAAACTAACTAACTGTTGTAGAATTATACAGATGTTTATAGGTCACCTCTCCAGCTAAAGTCTAGTGGGTTTAAATCAAGAATTAAATTTGCTTTTGTGGTCCTTATTTTGTGTTTTGGTTTTAGGCCAAGACTAAAATACTTGAATATTTTATTATTTATATATTATGCACAAACTTATTTAATGTTATGTTAAATCCATGGGTAAAAGAGCGTGAAGCAGCTTGTAGCAAAAGCCATCATTAGCTGCTGTGAGGCAGGTGTA